ATATATATATCACTTAGTTGTTCCAGCACTATTTAATTAAAAAGTCCGTTTTTACTTTAGTGACCTAAGATGCTACCCTTGTTGCATACTAAATTAGACCCAAATATGCATACATATTTGGGTCTAACTATGAATTTTCTGTTCTGTTCCTCTACTCACACACCAGTACCATACTGTTTGATTATAGAGGTGTTATAGTATATTTCAACACTGGGTAGTCAGTGCCCTGTTTTTAAAGAGCTTTGGCAAAGCTCAATGTAATGTATAGCTTTGTTATAATTCTAGACCTAAATAGCTGTATACTGTAGATTTCTACTATTCAACTATAGATTACTTGAGTCAAGGGGAGTTAGGCTCAATATCAAGTGCAAATTTTTAAAAGAAAGTGACTGATTTAATTAGTTCATCTGGATTCCTAAAGAAGTACATCTGACACAAAATGATCAGTTCTAAGCACATTTAATCAATAGTTTGTAAAACTTCTGTCTCAGAAGATTGGTGGAATTCCAGACTCTATTGAGATTCATTCTTGGAGGTATATGAATCTGATTCAGATTTGACAATAATAAGTGGGTTGGAAACCATTATTATAAGGAAGTACCTAATTTGATGCCCTAAGATTTCATAATAGAAAATACTGGCATTTATATTCATTCAAAAATGTAAATTGAACTTCCACTGTATGCTAGGCATTATGCTAGATTCTGGAAATATAATCCCTGTCTATTCTTTACAGTTTAGTAGGAAAGAGAGGCAATTAAGCAAGTTATAAAAAATAGTGAGATAAGTATTATGAAAGAGGAAATATAGGGTGCTGGGGTAAAATAAAGCAGGGCCACCTTAAGGTAACTGAAGACAGCCAAAGAAATACTTAAGCTGAGATATTAAGGAAGATGAAGTGAATCTGGACGTGTCAGTTTTCCAGGTAGAGGGTATAGTATGTGCAAAAATCTGAAGGCAAAACAAAGATTTACACTCTCAGGGAATTGAAATTAATTTTATTGTAGTTAGAGTGTGAATGGGGAATGATAGGTTTTCAACTAAGAGTGGTTTTGTTTCCCAGCGAATACTTGGCAATATCTGGAGACATTTTTGGTTGTCATAATGGGGGCTTGAGAGAATATTAGGGGAAGTGGATAAAACTAACATCCCACAATATATAGGACAATACCAATATCCCCCAAAGAATTATCTGGTTCAAAATGTCTAGCTTGGGGCTAGATATTTAAAAGCAAAGGCACTTTCATTACAGTTCATGTGATATTTTAAGAAGAGAGTTTGGGTTTCACTCTAGGGCAACATGGAGTCAGTCATTTGCTGGCTCTAAGCACGAAAACCAAATTTATTTTAGTGATTACTCAGGCTTCAGCATAGAGAATAGTCTAGAATTGTTTCATTCATGTAACAAGAATTTAAGTGCCAAGCGTTGCTCTAGGAGCTGGGGATACAGTGCTGAACATTTAAAATTGACACATTGTAGTGGAAAAGGCAGATTAAAAAATACAGAAATAGACAAGTGAACAAGGTTGTTTTTCCATATTTAGTATTCTGAATGTAGGTGAAATCTGAATCTGACTATAAAACTTCAGTGTGAATATTCAGAGGAAAAAGCCCTAGACAAATTATATATAACATAATTTACAGGTTATTTATTGTTTATTTTGGGCCTAATTTCTCTTAAATGCATATCTTAAAAAAAAACAGTCACAGCAATACAAATTAAAATTTAGGTTGTTTTATGCCGATCTCTTCCATTTTGGCTGTGTGTGTGTGTGCATGTGTGTGTGCACGCACCCACGCCTGGCTCACATCTCCACATTATGTTCAACATGCTCAATGTTACAAGATTGCTTAAATGACTACCTCTTTGTCTGATAGCTTTAACAGCAGCAGCAACAATTTTAAGAGCAGTGATCATTTGACATCCTCCCTGATAGGGCATGTTCTAGTCTTTTTTCTTTCCTTTTTTTTTTTTTTTAAAAACCTGTACTTTTTGTGTCTGTGACATTTCTTAAAATTAGCTGGTTTCTCAAATTAGCTTATTTCATATGTATTAATTTATTTCATATGCATTAGCTTCTAGTATGACAAGAGCTTCTAGTTGCATAAAAATCTTTTAGAATAATTTTTTAAAAATATTTTTATAGTTGTAGATAAACACAATACCTTCATTTCATATATTTATTCATAACGTGGAGGCAAGTGCTGTGCCACTGAGCCACAATCTCAGCTTCCTAGAAGAATATTAACTTGACAAAATGACTGAAAGGAACATCTTCATCACCTTTATTTATTTATTTAGCTTTGAAGCCAAATTCAATGACTGACAGAATACTAAAAAAAGAGAGGCAGCAGTGATTAAAAGAATAGGTTCTGAAGCCTGCCTGATTCAATTTAAATCTTGACTCACTAATATACTGAGGTAAGTTATTTATTCTTAGAGCTCTGTTTCCTCATTTACAGAATGAGGATAATAACAGGATTACTTAATACTGGCTTTGATTACTAGCTTTGCTATTTATTAACAGTATGACTTTGAAAAAAGTAATTGCTAGAGACACAGTTTCTCATCTGTAAAATGAAGATAATTAAAGAACTCATAGGGTTAAGATAAGAATGAACAAGACAACAAAAATAAAAAATAGTACTGAGCAGCAACACATATTAAGTCCTTAGCAAATGGAAGCCAATGCCTCTATGTCCTATGAATTCTGTATGTACCATTGCTGTTATAGTTAAATTTACATATGCAGGCAAGGCCCAGAATAAAATCTCTGTGCCTCTCTATTCTGAAGGCATTTCAGAAGAAATATAGGAGATTTGCTTGAGAGATGCTGACCTAGCAAAATCTGCTATATTTCAAGTACAAACTGTTTCTTTGAGAAATAAAACTGTTCTAAAGTAATAACAAAAACTCTCAATTAGCAGCACCAGAAGGAGCAATAATATTGTGAAATACCAACGGTAATTACTGATATCTACGAACTGACATAAAGAACTCTGTCAAATCAAGAAGTTTCAAAATTTTTTGAATATTAGCCTACTTCATCAAAATACTAGCAGATTTGAAAATCTCATTGGAAACTTAATGTCTGCTTACTGATTTGTTATTGGTGAGAAACAAGACTGCTAGTTTCTGCCCTATGCTTTCTCAGCATAAACTTGCATAGCTGAACTGTTAACATGTAGCACAATTACTGGGATAACATTAAATTTTAATTGAAGGGGCCATTTCTTTTTTCTTTCTTTTTTTGGATACCGGGATTGAAATCAGGAGCACTCAACCACCAAGCCACACCCCCAGCCCTATTTTGTATTTTATTTAGAGATAGGGTCTCACTGAGTTGCTTAGCTCTTTGCCATTGCTGAGGCAGGCTTTGAACTTCTGGTCCTCCTGCCTCAGCCCTCTGAGCCACTGGGATTACAGGCATGCACCACCTAACTCAGTGGAGCATTTCTTTTTTTTTTTTTTTTAAATTATAGTTGGGCACAATATCTTTATTTCATTTGTTTATTTTTATGTGGTGCTGAGGATCGAACCCCCAGTGCCTTGCATGTGCTAGGTGATCGTTCTAGAGCTGAGCCACAAATCCCTCCCCACTCCTCCTGGGGCATTTCTTAAACAGTGTTTAGCACAAACTTGAACATATCCCAGCCAGGCTTGGTGGCACAGGCTTGTAATTCCAGCTACTCATGAGACTGAGGCCAGAGCCTGGTAAGTTTGAAGCTAATCTGAGCAACTTAATGAGAACTTGTCTCAAAATAAAAAATAAAAAGGGCTGGTGATATAGCTCAATGGTAGAGCACTTGCCTAGCATGCATGAGAGACTTGAGTTTGATCCTCAATACCATAAAACATAACAAAAACAAAAAAATCTCTAAATGTATCTCACCTCTAGGTACAAACAGATTTATTTATTTGCTTAAGGAAGAAATAACAATAAAATTTAAAAATTTACTTCTCAACTAAGTAGAAATAGTCAAATTTCCTATAAATGTATGTTAACATTTTCTTTTTGCACTGGGGATTAAACCCAGGAGCACCTTACCACTGAACTACATCCCCACTCTTTTATTTTGAGACAGGGCCTTGCTAAATTGCTTTTATCTGCTAAGGCTGGCCTTGAACTTGTGATCCTCCTGCCTTAGCCTCTCAAGACACTGGGATTACAAGCATGTGCCACCATGCCTGTCTACAATATTTAATATTTTCTAAATATTGAACATAAATATCTTGGGACTTTTCTTGCTAAGAGAGGAACTAAGACTTAACAAGAAGACTTAATTCTCTAAGATTTTTTAACAATTACCTGACATATTATATATTTATCTGTTTATTATCTTCCCATCATGAAAACGTGAGCTACATAATATAGAGATTTGTGTCTGTTTTTTTTCCACTGATTTATCTTTAGTTTTGGATTTTTGGTGCTTCCAAAGTTATATTCTAAATGAATAGCTGAAAGACTGATGGTGGAAGCTCCTCAGCATTCACATATTTCTATAATATTTATTCTACTTGTTCTAAAAAAGAAGAAATTGGGGACCATTTATATAGAGAATATTCAGGGAAAAACAGATGTCTCTTTTGAACTTACAATTTGTGAGGAATAAATCTGAGTGAAATTTCTGTTTACAGAAGCTCATTTGTAGATGAGTGTATGCTAATCTGTGGGGGTAATTAATAATGTAAATTGGGGAAACAGCTGCTTCTGGCTCTTAGCCAGATCGAAAAAAAAAAAAATAACCTTACGCTATTACAGACCATCTTTAAAATTTCAGAAAAGCATAGGAATTAGAAGCAGTGGAAGATGAGTGTGAGGAAGGGAGCTGAAAACAGAATTTCTGTAAAGTTTACATCCCCATATCTCCATTTCTACACCCTGTCCAGCCAGGTGATAACCTCCTCAAGAGTCAGTGGAATGAGAATTATATTTAACTAGAGAAACTAAATAGGAGAGAATCTAGACTTAGGGACACCAAACATAGACAAAGGTAGGGATAAGGTGCAGAACCAAAAAAGAAAAAAAAGAAAAAAAGCGGGGGAGGGCTTCAGCAAAAGTCACACACTGACTGGTAAAACCCTATCCCTCTTCTACCCAGCTCCAGATTGCTGGCACCCAGGCAAGGACCTGGAGGATTCTTTGCTGGAGAATATGGACACTGACTTTTGGGTATTTCCAATAAAGAATGGATCATCTTGCTGTGCACATACAACCTTCCAATTAATTTTTCAGTACCTAATCATAAAGGAAAAGAGAACACACTGCATACATAAAACATGAATAGGATGCTAAATAAAAAGGGGGACAACTGCAGAAAAAGAAAAAAAAACTAATGGAAATTAAAATAATTATTGCCAAAATATATATTTTTTTTGGCGGGGGAAGGAAAGGATTGGAAGGTAATGTTGAAGAAATCTACCAAAGTGGCTTATAAGGAAAAAAAAAAATCCAAAACCAAAAACGAGAACATGAAAAACAGGATAGAAATTTAAGAAAACTAGAGTATCAGCACAGGAAATCTAATTTTTGATTAGCTCCTATTAACCAAGTTAACAAGAGTTATAAAATGACAGAACAGGAGGAAATTATTGATAAACAACACAAAAGCATTTTCCAAAATTAAACAGTATTTTTAGGGCTTGCTATGTACCAACATAATTATGAAAAAAGATCCAAGAATATGGTGATAAAAAAGATCTTAAAAGCTTCTGGAGAGAAAAAAGGTATATACAAAGAATTTTGAATAAGAATAGTATCAGATTATTTGACATCAATTTTGAAGTTCAAGACAATGGGGCAATGCCTTCAAAATATGAGGGATAATAATTTTTAATCTAGAGTGATATATTATGTCAAACAAACAGAAGAGTATGAGCATAGAATAAAGATGCTTCTGGAAATGTTAAGTCTCAAAAAACTTATGTTATATGCATAATTTCTTAGGAAGCTCCTGGAGGATCTGTTCCAAGAAAATGAAGAATAAAATCAAGAAAGAAGGTGATATGGGATAAAAGAGAAGTGATAATAATTTTCAAAATAAAAAGGAGGTGGCAAGCCTTAAGAACATCCTGGGTCTAGACTGAGCTTCATGGGCTTTAGAATGGATATCTCTGTTTAGAATGGATATCTCTGAGGGGAAAATTTAACTGATAAGCATGAAAAGTAGTACTAAGATGCACTTTATAAAATTATAGTAAGAATTATGGAATGACTTAGTCAAAGATCTGAAGAAAAATAAGTACAATTTAAAATGAGGCATTTCATAAATCCCATAGAATTTTTTAAAGAAGGAAATGTCCTTTGTTCCAGAGTGAATCATGATTGCACAGTATTAATGCTTAAAATATTGTAATAGGGTTTCAGTCAAAAATCATGATGTAATTGTGCTTGGAGCATGACAGGAGGAAAGTGAAAGAGCTATCCTCATCATTATAATAAGCAAGAGATAATGTGTAAATTAATAAGAAAAGTTAGAGCAATATATGGGTATTATTTAAAAATATTGAGATTAAAAAAGCCAGACAATTGAAAGTGGCTGCTTTTGGGGAATGGATGAGTTGGGAAGAGAAAGGAAACTGCTTGTTTTGAGCATTACTTGATTTTCTATGTATATATGTTACTTTGAGAAAAAGAAAAATTTCAAACTCAAACATAAAAAATGTACAGTATAAATGTACATATAAAGTATAAATATAGTATAAGTATAAAGTATAGCATAAATATAGACAGAATAATATAAAGAAAGAGTTTTGAGCTAGAAAGAAAAGTAAAAAAACCTATTAATTACTTATACTGTGATCGTGGGTAAACCATGTAACTTCTTTGAGTTTCTACTTCCTTATTGATTCCTCAGAAGACTCCATTTCTAAGTTATTCCAACTCTCAGGTTCTAATTCCAACACAATAAGGTATTTTTTTTTCCCCTAGGGATAACAACAAATGAAAAAACCCAGAAACTTTTCTCCACATTCTCATAGTATACCTTGACATATATTTTTTTACTTTGCCAAGGCTCTCCCTATTTTTGCCTTAATGTTAAAATGCAAACAGCATGTCCCCAGTTTGGGAATTCTGTTTTACCTGTGAGGCTAATCTTCGCATAGCTTCTTCCTGTCGCCTACGCATTTCTGGAGTTCCTGGGCAGCTCCCACTTGTGATAGATGAGTGAGCTGAAGGTGGCTGTGTGAGTGGCAACTCTCTGTTGGCATCCACATCTGGATTAAAAGATGAGATGTTTGCATCAGATAATCATATAAGCCTGAACTAAAGGATGATTAGTTAATTCCATTTGTTCTATGACCCAGCAATTCAGCAATTCCCCTCCAAGCTATATACGCAATAGAGATAAAAACTCATTATCTACACAAAAACTTGTACACAAATGTTCAGAGAAGCATGATTAAAATAGGCAAAAACCAGAAAATGGCTCAAATGTCAATCAACTGATGAATAGATAAAATGCAATATAGACACACAATGGATTAAACGTGACAATAAAAAGAAATGAGATATACATATACAACATAGATGTTCCTTAAAAATACTATGCTGTCAAAGAAGTCAAGTCAAAATGACCCTTTTATGATTCTATTTATATGAAATGCCCCAAATAGGGAAACCCATAGAAACAGAAAGTAAACTAGGGGTTTCCTGGGGCTAGAGGTAGGGGATTAGTGGGAAAAACAGGATTTACTACTAAGAGTCATGGGTTTCTTTAAGTAGGATAAAAATGTTCTAATATCAGACTAATGAATTTTATACAAGCTGAACTGAATACTTTAAATGAGTGAACTGCATGGATTATAAATTATAGTTCCATAAGATTACAATTTTTTAAAAAAAATTTTATTTGTTCCTATAATTTAGAAAACATATTCTTAAGTACTACTAGAAATTATAAGCCATATTTATAAATAAGACCATATTTCTAAAACAGGCACTGAACAAATATTTGAATTCATTATTTGATGGCCAATAGTTATTGAAAAGAAGAAGGTAGTCTTCACTTAACTCCTTACCAGTTAGAGTGAGTTTAGATTTCTTTCATCCAACTGGTAGATTCCTTGGTTACGAAATAAGTTCTTAATAATGGCAGGGTGGTGTGTATAGGAGATGGCAGTGTATAAAAGTCTGACGAAATACATGACATTTTGAATAGAGGCAAAGTTCAGTGATTATCTGTCACTGTTATTATTCATGGTGTTTATTTCCCCCCACTCTTCCCATTATTTTGATTTTAATTTTGTGTGTAATTATTATTCAAATATTCTGACTTCTAGCTGGTCCCTTTTGGAGATGCCCTTATTTTTTTTTTGGTCTTTCAGAGTCTTATTTTCTATTTGATATTCAGAACACAGTAGAAATAAAAGTTAATAGGTGGTAGTTAGTATGCACATCAAAATGGCAAAACAGACTTATGAAATGAGCAGAGTAGGGAGAGTGGGGGTTACTTACCTACCAGCTATTTGGGGGTTTAGTAGCTGTCAACAAATGTCAAATTCAAGTAACTATCATTGGGCCATTTTAGTGATAGGAAAATATAGTCTTGTATTAAAAGAACTTCTTTACTGCACTGAGAATAGCTGTAGTTAATGTTACAATATCTGAATTATACAACAGGTCTATTTTCACAAAATTTTTTTTTTTTTGTGTGTGTGTGTGTGTGTTGGGGGTATAGGTGATGGTGGCAGAGAATGATGGGAGAAGTGAGATTTGGGAAAGTAGGTGGAAAGAAGGATGACAAGGTAGTGCCTGCTTTGACAGCTTTTTTGTACTTTACCAGGGAAATGACAATGAGGGGGCAGGCTGAGGGACTGTCTGTAAAGAAAAGAAAGCCAGGCAATGAAGTACTATAAAACAAAGAACAGATGACTTGGTGGGGGTGGGTGGGTTGGAGGGGAGCCAGAAGCACCATAGCTTTTCATTTATTTTCATTATTAGTACAATTATATACCAATGATACCAATGACCAAAGATTATGAAGGCCAGTGAGATACCAGATAAACCTATTCAAGTTTAATGTAAGTTAAACTCTGTAAAAAATTAGGCTAACCCTCTGACATCTTTCTTATTGATTAATGAAAAAATTCTGCTGCTGCAAGTAACCTTTTAAGTGCCAGCTCATTTAATAACAAATTTATGCTGAAAAATAGCTTGCATTATATCAGTTACTTATTCTTGATTCTTCTTTAAGGACTACTAGTCTGTTAAGATGGTAGTGGTAGAATGTAGTTTGACTAACAGATTACAAAAATGTAGTTTAATCAACAGATTACAAAAATAATTACTCTGTATAAGGCAATGCTATTTCTATGTAATTCTGATAGATATATTATCACATACTGTATCTCTCCTGAATATTCAAAAAAAATTTTTTTTTCTCAGTAATGGGAATTGAACTTAGGGCACTTTACCACTGGGTTATCCTTCCAGCCCTTTTAATTTGAATTTTAAGAAAAGTTTTAAGAAATATTTTTAGTTGTAGATGGACATACTAACTTTATTTTATTTAGTTATTTTTTATGTGGTGCCAAGGATCGGGCCCAGTGCCTTACATGTGGCTAGGTAATTGCTCTACCACTGAGCCACAATTCCAGCCCTTCCTTTTAGATTTCGCTAAATTGGCTAGGCTGACCTTGAACCTGTAATCCTCCTTTCTCAGCCTTCCAAGTAGCTGGGATTACAGGTATGTACTGCCCTCTCAGCTTCAAGTTTTTAAAGTTCACTATCAGGCCAAATCTATAGTCTCAACAATGGGCATTTATCTCATGAATGCAGAATGTCTCAGTGTTTTGGAGATTTTCAGGAGATAAAAGGCAATGGATATTAGATAATAACTTAGTGAACTACCTTTAAAGAATCTCTGCTTTGGGGAGTACATGGACTATTTTCAATTATCTCTTGCTCTTATTCCCAGTTACCTTTGCTTTCTGAGAAAGCAGCTATTCTTGCCCTTGGGATTTATCTACTGTCATGTATGATTCTACCACTCTGTTATCTACAACACTGATATACAGGAGTCAGAGACTATTAGCTATCTGGTTTTCTTTCTGACACACGAAAATAGCTTACCTCTTGGACAACTCAGATAAAAGGTAGTTTTGTGTGATAGACTTTAAGCACTTAAAGGAAAATAGTATAATAGTGTGAAAATTTACTTTCAACCATGAAAATATTCTCAGAAGCAAAATTTTAACCATACTGCTTCATTTTGCAGATGAGAAAACTGAGATCTAAACAATTAAAGTGAAATTCTCAAGGTCACAAAGTACTGCGGTCAATTTGAATGCTGGGACACAAATCCTGGGTTTCTGACTCTCAGAGTAGTATGCTAGTCTACCTTAGAAAAGTTTCATTTAGAATCTAAACATGACATTCCCCTTAAGATAAGAATTCTTTCATAACATTTCTTACCATACACTGGTAAAGAGGGTTATTTCTTTTTCAACTGATTTTCTTCATAGAAGTTAGTTTTCTTCTACAGGTTAGACATTCATAATTTTACCAGAGGCAATCTAATTTCAGTAGGAAGCCAGGATATCTGAAGGGTATTTAGTGGGTTCCTGACTTTAGACCCCATAACTGCTATGATCTCATACAAACCATTTCTAGAGGTTATCTCAAAGTGTGGTGGGCTAGATTACTGATTTGGACTAGTAGAGCCACAGCTTTCTTTTATGTTCTGACACAATTAAAAGAAACAAGGTAAATGGATGCTATACATATGGTATATACAGAAAGAACATTTATATACATTCTTTTATTTTCTTTACTTGAGTGAGTTTCACCAATAAGGAGAAGCCACACAGAAAAATGAGTGAGAGAATGGCCTCTGAAACCAGAATTCTTAGTTTCACCATTTATTGGCGGTTAAAACCTGGGAGGTTTATTTAACCTCTCTGAGCCCCAGATTACTTCTTTGTGAAATGAAGACAACAGGAACAACCTCACTGAGTTTATAAAAGGATTGGATGAATTAATATTTGTAAAGCTCTTAGAGACTCTTTGGCATATAATACGTACCATATGAGTGTTTTAAAATAATCAAACAAGAGACTGGTGGTGATCATTAAAGTTGTGATAAAAGAAGCCAAATGAGAACTCATCATCTTTTCAAAGGAAGCAGGAAAAATCCTTCAAGAACACAATAAAGCTCAAGTCCAATCAGAGCACACTGACATCAACAGCAAAAAAATGAAGGCTGCGAACAGATTGTGCTGGCATGTAACAAGAAGAAATGGGCACAGGTTGAGGAAAATCTGACAGTGATGGATGCAAATGGCTCCACAGGCAAGTGCTGTAATCATTATCCAAAGGACAAAGCAGCCATACAGTCAGCAGGAAGAGTCATAAATTTATTCCATGAGAAAGATTTTCTCAGTCACTCACAGATGACTATTGGATGCATAGAGTATTATATTCTTTCTCTGAATTCTGAGTAATGATACTCACATGCAAGTCAAATTTTACAGATCAAAAAAATAAAAGGATAAATGGTGTGACTCTACTTTGTGTACAATCAGAGAAACAAAAAATTGTGCTCCATTTGTGTACTATGAATTAAAATGCATTCTGCTGTCATGTATAACTAATTAGAATATATAAATAAATTTAAAAAATAAAAGGGTATATTGCCTGACACACACATATCAGAAAAAATTTCAGACCCAACTAAGTAGGGAATTCTTTAAAAAGGAATACATACGTTTGGGGGAGGCATGTGGGCTATCTGAGGCGATCTGTCTCATCCGTGTACCATGGCAGCTGAGGGCCACCAGCCTAGAGATGATGGCAGTTTTGCCAAATCCAATGTTTCCCACAATCACCACTCCTTGGTTCACGCTGGCATTTGAACTTTGAAGTTGAGCATCTATTTCATGGAAAACCCAATCCCGGCCAACGAACACCGACTCTGTAGTGATACTGGGTACTTCAAAGAGCAGTGGCTTCAGGGAGATATCTGGAGGCCTGTATGGTGCAAAGCGAACTAAAAGGAAGGACAAGAGAACAGAGAATTAGGTGGAACTGTCAACATTTAGGAAATGGAGGTGGGGGTAAGTGGTGTGTTTTAGTAGATTATTAGGGTTACAGTATGATGGCATTCTGGGCTTATTCTGAGACTAATTAAATTCTGATTTTTTACAGAGTCCTACATAGAAAAGCAATGCAGGTGTGCTAGAGCCATCTGATTACACTAGACAGCAGAAGGCAAACTGACAAAACAATAATGAGTTACTCCCAACAATCAGAAAATCAGGGCAATATTCAAAATGATTAAACATGGGGATGACCCATGTATTAGCAATCAATAAGCTTGCAAAGGTAGTGAAAAAGGGTTCTAAGGGGTTCCAGCTATGCTTGAGGATAACCTTTTAATTATTGGATTGTAGGGAGTCAGGGATGTAGTACATGGGGTGAAGCAGGCTGTAATGGGCCATCCAGAGAGCCTAAGGCAGCAGCTCTTTATGAACCAGTAAGGATGTATTTCATATTTAACCCAATATAGCTGTACTAATATGTATCATATGAAAATCAGTTGTGTAGAAAGCAGTGCAAAGTAAATAGGATTGTTGATTTTTTTAAAAACAACAATGAGAACAGTAATTCCTTTAAATTAATGATAGTATTTTGCTTTTTAATATAATGGGTATATTATTAGGGGAAGCAAAGCCCCTAAAAATTCTGATGGTTTAAAAGATCTTAAACATTTTAAGCAGCCATGAAAGCAGAAACTGAAGTTTCACCCAATGTCACTGCATCTGTACTGCCTGCATTCATGCCAATTAAAAAAAAATGACTTTTGCCTTATACACATGTCTTGGGGAGGATCCCTTTGACTTTTCTCAAGATTTCTTTCCTGTGCTTATGTAATTATGGATATGCTAAGGGAAAAACATAAACTAGATTTTAACAGTTCTCTAAAACTATATCACAGATGTTATGTTGATGATAAAAGGAAGTCTTGCCAGGCCATCTCTATATGGACTACTGCCCTCCTAACTGTTCCCAGAGTAGTTCTTTGATATGCCATTTTCACTGTCTGAATCTATACATTTCCTTTCTGTACCATTAACTTTAGCATAATGTCTTTACATATCGTAGGTGCTCAATACATGCTTATGGAAAGTATTAGTTAAAAAGAAGGTATTAAGGGGGGATCCAACATGGCGGCCGACGAGGAAGCAGCGATTCCAACGTCTCCACTTTAACGGGATAAGA